CACAATTATATTAATGATACATACTATTAACATAAAAAACAATATACTGGTACAAAATTTTAGGGTGTAAAATTTATAAGCTGATTCAAGTTTGTATTTTTCATGTATGCACATTCAATAGGTACATGTGCTGTGTATCGCTCTAAAAGGTATTGTTTCCACAGGTAAGAAGCTATCAATAAAATCTATGTAATTAAATACACCACAACTTATGCCCATATGACTAAAAACAAGTCAACAACAATAACACTATAAGAACAAACAACAACAATATATTACCAACAAAACATTAAATACTTTGTGTTTCTGGTAGTTGGTTTAGTATCAATAATCATCCAGTGCCACTCCTCCATTATTATGAACATGTGACGGACTCTTTTTAACCAGTCCCATGCAGGCAGGCAGTACTAGTGACAGTCCTCCTCCTTTACTCAATAAACCAAATGAGACAGGACAGGATGACCTTACTAATCCTAATGTATCCTCACACTCTCTAAATAACAATGAAAACAAAAATAAACATAATCAATAATAAATAATAAAATTATAATTAAAAATGAACAAACATGACAAATTAAAAAAATTAAGTGATACATACACAAAAATACATGTACTTATACATGTATGCATCATTTCAAAATTTCACGATCATTTTATATCAAATGACGTATAAAAAGAGATGAAAACATATAAATATGTACATTTGTGGGGAATCAATATTGGTTGCAGTGAACATCCAGCAATATAAAATATGTCATTGTGTTTTATTCTGAGCTGCTCAATGGGATTTGGCTGCTAAATCACCAAATGACACCAATACGTGTATACATGTACATATGTAAAATCCACCAATTGCAAATTGCCAAATTCAACTACTGCCAATACTTAAGTTCCAACAGTAAGAAAGACAGATGATACATGTATGGCCCCAGTAACAATGCCAACAATACAACAATACATCATTATCATTATTCATAATATCATTCTTTAAAACATTGATTATTAGTACCAATCTAATACTAACTTGTCCAGTGAGTTGTCAAGGTTCCATGCATGAAGGCATGATACTAGGAGTCTAGGTGAGCTGATGGTTAGAGGGAGAAAGAGAGAGAGAGGAGGGAAACAATGTAATTTGTGCATATACATGTACATGTACAATACATTTAAAACTTGATATTTACATGTACATGTGTAACTGTCAAAAAAATGTAAATGACATTATTGAAGTAAAAAAGTAAGCAAGTGAAGGCAACATGAAAACCACAAAACATTTACAATACTTTTCAGCACATTAGTACATGTACATGCACATGTAAATAGTCAATTTATGCAAATGTACATAAACATGTATTTCAGTGACAATAATTCAGTGATAATGTAATAAAAATTTGGAGCAATTTTGAATCTTACCAGGTCATTGAATATGTCCCTCTGATGAAGGTGTATTGTGATCAGTGTCTCGTACTTTACTCTGTCAATCTTGTTCAGTTCTTGTGTCGTCATTTCAATGAGAGAATTGAGCACGTCAAGGAATGCTTGGTCAGTGGCAGCCATTATCTTCTTGTCTGATGGAGCATTCTTCAGTGCATTAGTTGAGTCCATTGTCCAAATGATCTGTAGACCAAGGAGACCAATCTACAGCCACAGACAAATAGAAAAGAAACACTACTAGTATAGAATTCCACTAATACATTATACATTATACATGTACTGTACACGTGGTCATGTTTATGGTATATTAATTATTATTATTTACATCTCATAGTAAACTCATTTGAGCAGGGTAACTGTTTAAGAAATCAATAAGGTCAAAGTTAGGATCTTTAATGCAGCATTCCTTATCACAGAATGAACTGATTTCTTTGCCATGTCAAGAAGCTTCCCCAACAATATCTTGACATTTCCCTGAGCAAGAACTGGCTTCTCTAACTACAAGAATATAATGATAAAAGTGAATAGTGTAAAAGCATCCATAATGAATACAACTACAAGTACATGTGTATTAGCTGAAGTAGTGGGACATACTTCAATAGTTTCTGGTTCTTTGGAGTTAATGTGAGTGATCCTGTCATACTCCTTATCATGGAATGTGACAGTTTTAATGTTATCAAAGACACTGAGGAGGTGAGCCAGTGTAAGAAAAATAAATTAATATTCCGTAAGGAAACTTTTTCAACAAGAAAATAACTACTAAAATAATAATTGTGAAGCCAATAGTAATCCATGATACCATTAGTATTTTATCTAACAACAATTGAATAATCAATTCAAAATTATTATGAATCAATTGAGATAAGGAGAGATAGAGTGAGTACCAAAAATGATAATGGGAATGAGATGCTTTGGGAGTCTTTAAATACAAATGTAATACTATCACTAACAGTGTACATGTACTAGTGTATAGTGTATACCTGTATAGTGTGTGAGTCTGAAGCTTGTCCCAGTATCTCCAGTAGTGCTTGATCAGACACAAAGAAGAACCGAGGGAACACCAGCCTCTTCTTCTCAAGGTAGCCAGTTAATGATTTCTGGCAGAGCTCCAGTTACTCCAGGAGATGAGGGAGTAGTTGTCACAGTGTCTCATCCCCCACACAGCACTGGACCACATTAGGGACCTCATGAGCTTTGGTCATTATCTTTATCCAGGACTTGTCTATACTTTGAAACCTTTTAGCTTCCTGTAGAGTGAGAATTAATAATTTCAATTGAAATAAATTCAAATTTCCTATGCATTATAAGTACATGTATGTGTATTTGCATAAGAAAAAATGGAGGGTCCTCTCCTAGTCATTATTAGTAATGTAAAGTTTGTAAAAATCCATATTTGATTAGAATCAGTTGAAACATTATATGTATACTGTATATGTATCAGAAACTGTAATAAAGTGAAAACAATAAATACATTAAGTATAAGGAGCTATTATTCAGTTATTAACCAACACACAATAAGCTGTGCTGTAAACATTAAGCTGATTATTAAAATGATTACAAATATAGAGGAATCCTTCTCTATCAAATGTTAGTCCTATTGGATAGATATTTGATGGCAGTAGTGGTAGCAATGAGTTGCTCATTTACTGATCTATTAATACCTTCTTGTCTTGTCAATAAAGACTTATGTATCACTAATAACATAAGAACAATGCATTGTTATTAATTGTCATCATCTTGGCCCCTCAATAAAAAATCTTGTATGAATGCTTGACTGCAGAAAAGGCTGCAGTATTTTCAAAAATTGGCCTATTTCAAAAATGGCCATACATGTACATGTAACTCAAAATGTTTCAGATCAGAATGAGCTCAAACTTTCTACATAGCATAAGGACATCAATGTACATGTACATGTACAGTATCAGAAATCGGAATAAAAATTGGGAATGATTTTGGACCCATTTTTTGGAAAAAATTATGGGCTATAGTACAAGGCACTTCTATAAATGATCCTCCAAAAATTTTAAGCTGATCTCACAAAAATCGTTACAAAACACCTGTAGTGACCGAGAAGGAAAGGTAAAGAGAGGTCTCGCGGGAATCAACGAACAAATTTATCAATAAGTTAAAAACTTCTTCTTAAAACTGAAGAATGCACACACTTAAATACACAGAAATCAATTGCATCATAATACATCACTGACACACATTGCATAATATTACATAACACTAGAAAGGAATCTTAATCAACAATGCATACATTATATAACCTACATAAGAAATGAAAATAAGTACAGAAATAATAATTAGGAAAAATGATAATAATAACAATACAATACATCCCTAGGAAAATAATTATATATAAGCATACATTAACATTATCAGTTATAACAACACCTTTACCGTATAGTGGGAAATTGGAAGAGACTGAAATTTGGCAAATTGCTAAATTTTGATGATTGGCAAATTTTAATTTGGAAAATTTGTGGCCACGTACCATTGAGCATGCATACAATGGCTCAAAATGGCAAAATTTATTTTGGCAAATGGCTATCAAAATGGCCCTCCAAAATTTTACACTATACAGTATGCCATACAATAATAATGCATAGAATAATGGACATTAATTGAATACATAATTACATGTACAATTGTACATGTACATGCATACACCATATGGCGCTTTAATTTAGCTTTATTTTGGTGATTGATAATTGACAAATTATTAATACCACCAATCATTAATGAGCAAGCTCAGTCATGTCCATGTACAATGTATGTGTACACAAAAATCATTAAATTAAAAACCACCAATTATATTTTTACAACAAAATCAAAAATTACCCTCTCTTCACGCCCACACATGGTTTGGGTAATAAAGAGCTACATTTTACATGTACACATGTACATGTACATGTACACTGTAATACTTGTACAGTAAGCAACTCTCTCTCTCTCTCTCTTATTATTTACTTTAAGTTGTTCTTTCATTGCACTCATCATTTCTTTGTTGATAGTCTTAATTTCATTATTAAACTGAAGCATCATCTGAGCCATTCCATCATTTAACTTCTTGTCTAAAATAATAACAATAATAAACATGTAATTGTAAACAAATTGTAATTGTAAAAATGTAATTTTAATTTTAATCAACAGCCAAAACTGGGTATTTCATGTACAGTACATGTAAATACCCATATATGTACATGTATACTTCATTGAACATTTGGTGATTGGGATGTTTCATTTGGCAAATTTGTGGCTACATGTACATGTATATGCCCTTTAAATACTGTATCTGAACATGTAAATGCATGTACATGTACACGTACATAGACATGTACATGTATACACATGTATATGTACTAACAAGATCCAGTAGCTAGCACATGAGCTCCCCAGGTCTGATTCATCAGTGTGTTAGTGATAGATACCACAGTTAATAAATGCCGTGTGGTTAATGATCTTGACAACTGCCACCTAACATGATTGGATAGTTGAGACTGGATCCCTTCCTCATTGATATCCTCCTCCTCCTCCTCCTCTAGACTAACAGGAACTGTTAATGATCTCTCCTTATGTAATGAGAGTGTAGCATTGATGGCACCTGTCAACAACAATAATAACAACAATCATATGTGACCATAATTGACAAAAGGTACCTTATGGCGGATAGGAAAATTGGTCTTTAAAGCCTTAAAAATCCAATTTCTTGAGCTCAATTTGTCATAAAATTACTCCAAAGGATGCAAAAAGTTACTTTGTAACTTTTAGATACAATAGTTGTCCAACAGAGCACTCAGGTTGATATTTTTCATTATAATGATGAATTTAAAAATCCGCCATAAGGTACCTTTTGTCAATTATGGTCACATATTAATAATACATACTATTAACATAAATAACACTATACTGGTACAATATTTTAGAGTGTAAAATTAATAAGCTGATTCAAGTTTGTATTTTTCATGTATGCACATTCATTAGGTACATCATGTACTGTGTATTCCTCTAAAAGGTATTGTTTCCACAGGTAAGAAGCTATCAATAAAATCTATGTAATTAAATACCCCACAACTTATGCCCATATGACTAAAAACAAGTCAACAACAATAACACTATAACAACAAACAACAACAATATATTACCATCAAAACATTAAATACTTTGTGTTTCTGGTAGTTGGTTTAGTATCAATAAATCATCCAGAGCCACTCCTCCATTATTATGAACAGGTGACGGACCCTCTTTAACCAGTTTCCAGGCAGGCAGTACTAGTGACAGTCCTCCTCCTTTACTCAATAAACCAAATGAGACAGGACAGGATGACCTTACTAATCCTAATGTATCCTCACACTCTCTAAATAACAATGAAAACAAAAATATACATAACTAATAATAAATAATAAAATTATAATTAAACATAAAAAACAAGAAAAAATTAGAAAATTAAGTGATACATACACAGAAGTACATGTACATGTATGCGTCATTTCAAAATTTCATGATCATTTTATATCAAATGACGTATAAATAGAGATGATACTATATAAATATGTACATTCATGGAGTATCAATATTGGTTGCAGTGAACATCCAGCAATATAAAATATGTCATTGTGTTTTATTCTGAGCTGCTCAATGGGATTTAGCTGCTAAATCACCAAATGACACCAATACGTGTATACATGTACATATGTAAAATCCACCAATTGCAAATTGCCAAATTCAACTACTGCCAATACTTAAGTTCCAACAGTAAGAAAGACAGATGATACATGTATGGCCCCAGTAACAATGCCAACAATACAACAATACATCATAATCATTATTCATAATATCATTCTTCAAAACATTGATTATTAGTACCAATCTAATACTAACTTGTCCAGTGTGTTGTGAAGGTTCCATGCATGAAGGCATGATACTAGGAGTCTAGGTGAGCTGATGGTTAGAGGGAGAAAGAGAGAGAGAGAGAGGAGGGAAACAATGTAATTTGTGCATATACATGTACATGTACAATACATTTAAAACTTGATATTTACATGTACATGTGTAACTGTCAAAAAATGTAAATGACATTATTGAAGCAAAAAAGTAAGCAAATGAAGGCAACATGAAAACCACAAAACATTTACAATACTTTTCAACACATTAGTACCTTATAAATGTACATGCACATGTAAGTAGTCAATATATGAAAATGTATATACACATGTATTTCAGTGAAAATAATTACATGTACATGAATATTAATTACTACACACTTAATGGGCACTACATGTTGGTATTACATGTACTACAAATACATGTACATGTACATGTATTAGCAATTGAATGCTTTGGTGTGAGAGAGAAAGAAAGAGAAAGAGTGAGGGGGAGAGCAAAGCTTACATTAATATGAGGAGGACATGCTACAATGCTACTGACCACCTACCATGAACTGCAATAGTGTTGAACAATATTCCTTTGAAGAGGTCCCACAATCTAACAGAAAAATCAGGACCACCAGATAACAAGTGATTGGTATCATAAGCAGTGCTATAGTCACAGGATACAACAGGAGGGGACTCTCCTCTTGTGACCTCTTAAGAAATAATATTGAGACCATGCTATAGAGGAGAAGGAGAGAGAGAAAGAAGA